GCCCCAAAAAGTTAAGAGAAAACAACGACAGGCATGTGGAGTGGCACAGTCCATCCAGGGTAGGTTACAGCTTTAAAACAGAAGAAATAAAAAGCTGAAGTAAAGAGTATTCCTATACCTGCTGTTTATTGACTCAGGATCTCCCATGGGCATTACGTAGATGGCTGAGTCCTCACACTGCCTGTGAGGCTCTGCTGGGTTTAGGTCAGCCTTCAGCCCAGAGAGAGAAGATGCAAAAGGAAAAAAACACTTCAATTCTCTTCTTAGCATCCTAGAAGAACACTTACAAGGATGTCTCCTGCTACAGAACTTCTGAATTATGGTAACCAGAAACAGTGAGGAAGAAGCTTTAAGTCTTATGCAGTTGTTCTCTCCATGAGTTATTTCAGAGCACAGTGCTGCTGATCTCACGTGGTATCAACAGAAATAAAAGGGAATTAGTGTCTGGCACAGACATAGTTGTACATCACTAGAACAATTATTCTAAAATAGCTTTAAGTTGTCTGAACTTGAAGCACATCATAGCAAATAGTGTAGAGGCTGAGGGGCCCCCTCCATCAGCCTTCTCCAAGGAGAACAATAAGAAATTATGATGGCAGAGCTGTTAACAACATCTAACACTACTAATTCCACCACAACAGCTCCTTGCCTTGGTACAGATCCTGCACTGGAGGAGAAGGAACACACAGCAGACCACTGGCAAGGTCTGCTGGAGAACTCAGGAATGCCCATCCTGAAGAAGCATTCTTTGCTTGCATGGTGCCAGGAGGGAACAGTAGCAGCACAGAGAGCAAAACGTGATGGCACCAATGTACACTTACTCGAATCCAAATGGATTATCCCCAAATTAAGGAGGGGAGGGGTTGACGTTTTCACACATTGTCATGGTTGTCTGTATCTGCTCAAGTAATACAGAGTTTTGACATGGTGTTCTTCTTCAGTCTGTGCAGCCCTCTCTTTTATGACTACAAATCAAATGAGATTGCCAATCTTTCCTATGGTCTGTGACTGCTGGAAGGATGTAATGAGAGCAATATTTTGGCTTTGTGCAACTGTCTCTCAATTAGATGGGGATACTGAAATCTGTTCTCTTTAGACTCTCCTTTCTCTCTCGATCCTTATCTGGAAAGATGGAGGAGGGGAAAGACATATGAGATGTAAGATATAATATAAGGAAATTCTTGACATCCCTGGAAATGTCTGAGGCCAGGTTGGATGGGGCTTAAAGCAATCTGGTCTAGTGGAAGGTGTCCCTGCCAGGGGCAGGGGTGGAACAGGATGATCTGCAAGGTTTCTTCCAACCCAAACCATTCTATGATTCTAGGAATAAGAAAGATGAAACTCACTTTTTTAACAACAGCTTGGTCTGGAGACAGCCTATAGCTAAGCAAGACACGAGCATTTTGATGTGTGCTCCTCAAACTGAGGACATATTCCTTTTTTAAGGCTTTCACTCAGTGTGACAGTGAGCTTAAACAGACTCAAATATGAAGTCCAGTCTTTGTTGTACTCTACTAATTCTCATAAAATGCTGCTCAGTGGCCATTAAACAGTTCACTTAAAACCCAGTCTGAAATGTATGATTTTATCTTAAAGGAGAAAATCGCTGCTCCAATTAAAACAAAGGCACTTTTATTCCTTCTTATCTTTCTGAAACTATTTCCAGCATTCTCCCCACCACCAGTAGGAACCCTAGGCACCACTTATTACCACATTTTCTGCCTCCATATACTTTCCTCAGTAGACACAGCCAAATGAATTGGTGCAGAATAATCCCTGACCACATCATGCACTCAAAAAAACGTTGCAAGACAAGAGTGCATCTCCAGCAGGAATTTGGCATCGTTCAAATGCCACCTAAAAGCAGGAATGGTTTTTGCAGTGATCCGTATTTTGGTATTGGTTTATTTGTCTGTATGATTTAAATGCATGACTTAAACGTTAATAAAAATTAATTCAGTTTTTAAGTTAAATCCTACATGTTCACAGTTACTTCTCTAATTGGTTTGTCTAAGAGCAAGGTTGGGATGTAAACACAAACTTTGTCCCTATCATTTCACACTCCTAAGTCTGTCTTTGGACTTGGAGTCCATGGATGGTTATGTTGGTATTATAATGATAATGATAATGTTATTTTCCAGGTTAATAAAATAAGTAAAAATTACAATTATGTCATCTAGCTTACATAATTCTTAAAATAGTATAAATTTTATTCCATGTTATGAAATTGCTCATAATGATTACTCACAACACCGCAAATTTTATTTAAATTAATCAATTTATGTTCATTTTATTATAATTTTAAGGCATACAGATGTTCAACACTATTTGACAAACAAATTTAAAACCTGAAAAGCTCATCAAATGTGCTAATTCTGCTACTGACTATTTATACCTACCTGAACAAAAAAACACATGTATTTATCACCTTTTGTTTCTCTCCACATATTGTCTGTATAACACAATACTATAAAAGACAACCTTTCTTGTATTTTAGTTTGGCTTCTGCAATGGGACACTGGCTTATCTCCTGACCCCTGTATTAGGGGGGAAAATGCTACTCAATAGTTCTTTCCCCTAACAAAAAGCATAATAATGTTTATATCTTTGTCTATTTGTCGGACATGTTGTGGAGTTTCTTTGTTGCATTTCACGAAGGCCAAAGTAATTAATTAGCAGAAAATAATATAGAGGAATTAAAGCTGAGATTGCATATGCCTGCCTTTCATTAGTCACTTCTGCTTCCAGAAATCAAATGGCAGAAACATACATTCCTCTTTCAGTCAAGATTGCCCCTTTGGGAGTGAGTCGAGCAGTTCATGTAAGAAGAGTCCTTTGTTCCCTTCACTTGTGGTATTGGAACAGTTGGTAATCAGAGATAAATCATCTACTGTTTGCCTTAATTTAATTTGTCTTTCACTCCAGAGCAAGGTGCTCACAACTGCTTGATAAGACAAATAAACAGAAGAACGTAAAATAGATACAAATATTATTAATATCCTCATTGGCTCCAGAGGAAGCAATAGAGCAGGTGTGTGAATAGAGCCCGGAATATTTTATTTACTCAGTAATCTGAGAAAGGCTGGAATAAAGTTCAACCCAAAATTGCATTCAGGGACTGCCTCTTGCAGGCTCAAAGTGCCTGACCCAAACCCCAAGATTCCAGGCTTAGAATTCAGTGTAGTGGGCAGTGATGATCAACACCCCATTCATTGTCTTTATGCTGTTTTGATTACCCCTTTCCTCATAAAGAAGCCTGCCAGCTCTTATGTGACCATCATCTATTCAGAGAAACTGAGACCAAACTGGCTCTTACCCTTTGCTTCCAGCTTGTTGTTGTGCCTTCCCGTGCAATCACATCACATCAAAGTGATGTAGCTGTTTGTTGTTGTTTTTTTTTTTTTTTCTAAAAGGTCTCATCATTGCTTAGATTATGACAGTCTGAAATTATTGAGTCACCACCAACAGACATTTAGAATTACTCCTCAAAGTGAAGTTAAACTGAAAACACCATTAGCCATTGTTAAAGAAGAAAAAAAAATCTCACCACAATATTGTATTTATATCCTAACGATTGGGCTGTGTCCCCTCAGCACCACCCTCTGTGTCTCCATAAGGCGATTACGCTTCTCCCTATGAAGTGAAAATTACCTTCTTGTGGGCAGAAAGCGTTTAATTATGACTCTGCTTCCCTTGTCTCCATGGCGATCCCGTGCAAACAGCCTGCTTTATTAGCCCTCATTTCCCCCACCCCTCCAAAGTAATAAATCATCCCTGCGGGGGCTCGAGCGTTCCCGGGGACCCCCGGCCGGGACCCGGCTCCGGCCGCGCCCCCCGCGCTCACCCGGCGAGCGGACACTGCGATCGCCGCGGGACGCGCTCCGCTCTAATCCCGTTTGGAGCTAAGCGGCTGCATCATTTCAGCACTTACCGCAGCAAATATGTTCCCAATCCCTGCCCGGCGCGCTACAAATTGGTGGATGATCCCGGCGCGCCCCCGCCCGCCCCCCGAGCGCCGCCGGGGCAGTTACCTGTGCGCTCCCCGGGGTCGGTGAGGATGCTGGGGTCACTCTGCGACCTGCCTCGCGGGAGAAAGCAGCCGGTCCCTTCTTCCGATGCAGCCATGAGGTGGAGGGCGGGAAGCTCAGAGGAGGGGGGAGGAGGAGGCGCTCATGGAGCCGGAGGCGGCCGGGGGACAATGGGGACGGGGGTGCGGCGGCGGCGAAGGGGCGTCAGCCGGGCAGGACCAGCCGCGGCAGCATCTTCCCCGGCGCCGTCGGCAGGGCTGCGGCGTGCGCTCCGCCGGCACGGGGAGCTCAGGGGGCAGCTCCGGGCGCCTCAGGGAGGTGGGCCATGCTGCCAGCCGGGGTGGGGAAGAGCAGGGGCGCGGGCCGCCGGCCCGGCCCCCCGCCGCCGCCGCCGCCCCCTCCCGGGACGCCCCTTCCCGGGACGCCCCCTCCCCCGAGCGTCGCTCCCGGAGTCGCCTCAAGCAGCCGCGCTGCTGAGCGCATCCGTTGGAAAACATTGGGATTCTCCCATGGTGCCCCGCGAGCGGCCGTGTGACGTCACGGCGGGGGTGGGCGCCGCACCTGCACTGCACAAAGGCGGGGCTCCGCAGGTGCGCGGGGCCCGCCCCGACCGCCCCTCGGCGGGGGGGGGCGTGGGGAGGGGCCGCCCCGCCCTCGGCGTGCGGGGGGAACCCCCCGGGACCCCCCGAGCCCACCCCGTCCCCACCCTCGGGGCGCTTCGCGGTGCGACCCTCCGGCACCGCGGGGCTCGGGGTCCGCCGCCGCCTCCACCCGCGGCTGGAGGAGGAGGAGGAGGAGGAGGGTGTCCTGGGGAGGGTCGGAAAGCGCCGGTTCCCCCGCGGCAGGACTCGCGGGGGTCGCACTGCCCGTGTCCGCCCCGCCGGGACCCCCGCGCAGCGCGGCGGGACCTTGTGCGGAGCCGGCGGGGCCGCGCTGGGGCGGGCGGTGGGCTCTTGGCTAAGGGGTTCGCACGGAAATACCCAGGGAAAACGGGGTATTCCACCTCGACTGAATAGCTCCGTTTGCGAATTTGTTTAAAGTGAGTATCTGGTTTCACGGTTTTTTTCTTTAAATGCAAGGTCACTCCTCCCCATCCTGCGCAACTCGGGGCTGCTTTGCTGTTCCCGGTGATGCGGGTCGTGTTTCCTTGGAGTTTTGACCTGCAAAACCCAGGGATACTTTTTAATCGCTATCCAGTGTACTGTAGAATGCTCAGACAGCACTTGGGATCGTGTGGTTTCTCCCCTCGTTTCTTACGGCGGGGCAGTGCCTCAGACACTGCTTTTGTCTTTGCACGGAACTGGCTCTAAGGAATACACTCACCTACAGCCACATTCCTTAGGCTGACTCGAGCAGTGGTTGTATGTGAAGCTCAGCAAGATTCCTGGGGTTAGACAGGTATAAGTTTGCCAAATTTTAGGGATGAAACTTCGTGTCAGAAAAATTTCCATTAGTGCAGTCCCTCATTCACGTACAGAGTGACCGAGTGAGTGACGTTGGAAGGGAACAAAGTGAGTCATCTGGTCCAACCTCCCTGCTCAGGCAGGGTCATCCCGGAGTACATGGCACAGGATTGTGTCCAGGTGGTTCTGGAATATCTCCAGTGAGGGGAACTCCACAACCTTACCTGCACAATAAAGGAGTTCTTCCTCATGTTCAGGTGGAACTTCCTATGCACCAGTTTCTGCCCATTACCTCTTATTCTGTTACCTGGAACCACCAAGAAGAGCCTTGCTCTGCTTCTCCAGAAATACATGGAAATTATTTTGCTTGTCTTTATCTAAAGAAAATATGCTTTAGCCATTTCTGAAAGCAAGTGCAAACAAAGCAGCTCTGTGGGGTCGCTGGGTGGGTTTTACCCCACGAACATCCCATCTGTGACATTGAGAAGTGTGTTTGCCTTTTTTCTTTAAGCAGAAGTTTCACACATCTTGTTTGTGAGTCACCTTTTGGGCTGTGTGTCTCCTGAGGTTTGGTCAACGTAGTGGCCTTTTGGGGAAAGAAAAAAAGTCTGTGAGTCTACATTTAATGGTGAAGCTTGGTAAGAAAATTCTTCCGAGACTCCATTTGAACAAAGGCTGAGTGTGGCTGTTGGGGTAACCTCAACCCATGGCTGGGGTGAGGTGCTGCATCTAATGAGGGGGAATATTGCCAAGAGAACAGAAACTGAACAAAAGGTTTGAAGTAAAATATCAAAGAGTTTCTCTTTCAATGAGAACTGTCCCTTCTTGCTATGTATAAGGTAGATCCTGAGGAAGAAGAAGCATGTGGTGGTGTAATCTAAGCTGTGCCATCATGCAATGGAATACATTAAGGTGCCAAGTGAGATAATGAGCCAAATCTATTTTTAGTCCCAAAAAAGAGAGGAAGTAGCAAGCTTTAAATGATTTTTCTCCATATAGCTTTTAGGTCATGCTAGAAAATGCTGATGGTTTCTCGTGAATTCTGTGAAAGTCTGTTTGCATTAATCAATAGAGCTGCCTTCTGAGATGATAGATACTGATTTCTTTTTAAACATTTGTACAAGGTTGAATATACTAAAGTATTTTTCAACCCAAGAAAATATCTCCAAGACAGCTTCAGTAGCTATAGAAGCACAGAGGATGTGATGGATGTATTTTAAACCAGCTGACACACTGGTTGCCTCAATAAAGGACACTTTGCCGGGTTCCTTTGGAACAAAAACATTGTCTGGTAGAAAATAGTCAAACAATTCTGGAATTTGCGTTGCTGTTTTCACTTTGATAAAGTGTTTCATTTTCTCTCCCTCTTGCCAAACCAGGCACCAAGAGACTCATTCTGGGAATAACTCCCAGGTGGGTTCCTGCCAGCTGAGGGAGCTGCTCCTGGGCCACTTTGCTCTTCCCAAATGAACCATCATGATGTGTGGGAGAGGGGGTGCCAGCAAATAAACAGTGTTAAATTATTTAAACCTATGGTGCTAACTAATCTTGTGTAAAAAGTCTGATTATCTGCATGTCTTTTACTTTCAAGTTGCATGATGATGATGATGAAGAATCTATTTGCACTTTTCACTACTTTACCTTAAAGCAGGCTCTGCATTCCTCCTGGGACAGAGCTTTGGAGAGGAAGAATCTGTGTGAGGCAAAATCTGGTCTTCATGTTGAAAGACCAAAAGGAATGGAGCGTTTTCACAGACTTAAAGCTGACAAAGGCGGGGACTAACCAATGTATTCTAAGGATATTGATTTGTAAATCCCTCTGAAATGGGAATGAAACTAAGCCTGGTTCTTCCTGTGGGTACAAAGCACCTGAAAAATACTCCTCAAGTTTCCATTTACTAGTTGGTATGATTCTGTAAGTGTCACAACCAAAAATATTTGTAGGATCAGAATGACTATTAGTAGAAACATGACCATCCTTTTATTTGGTTTATTTTCTCACTCTAGCAGTCTTGTGGTAAACAAGTTTGCAGCGTTTTCCCAGAAAGTACAATGATCTGATATGTTTAGTTCTCTCTCAGAGGATTTCTAGCCTTTGATATTTATGATGAAAAGTTATGATGAAATTTTTCTAGCTTAGTAGCAGATATTTCTGCAACTGGCATCCATTCAGTTACAGGAAAATACTTCTTAAAATGAAATATCCACACAAGGAACACTAGAGGGAAAATACAATTTATTTAATTAGATTTATTTTGATGCATAGTCCACAAGCATACCAATGCATTTCCATTTGATACGACTTTGCTTGTAAAAATCTTGCAAAATGCAATGATATAAATGGTGTGCAAGGTTTGATTAATTTGTTTTTTCTCAGACAGCTGAATGCACAAGTTTTATGAGCTAGTTATATAAAGAGAAAACCAAATTGTGTTAGAAAGGAATGATTCCCTGAGGAGAAAGGAAAGAGGTGAGTCATGTCAGTGCTGTTTTTCTCGAATCAGCAGAATATTAAAACAACCTCATTTTCATTAGTCTGAAGCTGCACGTGACCTCTGAGCAGAACTGATGTTTCTTTTCGTGGTGTTGTTTAGAAAAACGAATCCAGGATGCATTTGGATTGCCAATATCAGCCTTCATGTTCAAATTATTCTGATGGCCAAGGCACAAATAGCCCTGCTAGGAGCAGTTTCTTAGATGCAGCAACAGAAAGCACTTGTTCTGTTTGTGCTTGTGAGTCTTAACCTAGTTTTTGAGATTTTTCCTGCCAGCTCGCTGTAGTTCAGAGTGCTCCCTGTAACAATAAAGAGGAGCATTCCCATGTTCAAAAGGCTCTTGTCTCTATTTATTTTGTGGGTTTAATTTTTTTTTTTTTTTTTTCCCCTCAGATGCTTTCTTTGTAAAGAGGCCACGGGGCCTATTTTGAGCCTGCGTTTGTCAGGACGATACGTGCGTGTCACTGAGAAGAGACGAAATGTCAGCCAGCACTCACAACTTCGGCACTACAAAGACCTGAAACGTCTCCTCCAAAGCACGGTGCTGTTCTACTATGGCAAGCAAATAAAAAATGAATAAGCATCAGGCACTTGTTCGTTGGTGGCCTCGTGTGCACACTCACACTGAACGGGTGTGATGCTCCCGCGCTGTTGTAGGAAGCGCTGCGTTCCACACTGGCTTTGGGTCACAACTCCAGTGCTTGCTCTGGCATTTCACAGGGGAAGGAACAGGAGAGGAAGAGGTGGGGAATAATGGAAAGGAAGACCATCAGAATCACAGAATGTGCTGAGTTGGAAGGGACCCACAAGGATGATCGAGTCCAGCTCTTAGCCCTGCACAGGATCATCCCCAAGAGTCACACCCTGGGCCCCAGAGGATCATCCTTCCTTGAGTTCTGTCGGCCTTGGTGCTGTGCCCACTGCCCCGGGGAGCCTGTTCAGTGCCCAACAACCCTCTGGGGAAGAATCCTTTTCTAATATCCATCTTAAGTTTGGATAACTTGTACCCTTCTCAGAGCTGTCATTTCTCTTTATTATGTATTGCATGCAAACAGTACATTCTGATTCAGAGCTCATCTTGCTGCCAATTCTGGAATAATTGTGACATGTAATTTTTTCAAATTAACTCAAATAGTGAAGATCATTCAGTTGTCAGCAGAAGTGGAAAGGGAAAAGTGTTCTGTGCTAATTGGATGAGAGCTGAGGAATCTTTGATGCAGTTGCAGGGCAAAATTCTGATTCAATTCATGTTGGCGTTTCAACATTTACTTCAATGGCATTTTGTTATCACCATCAGTTTCATTTCTTGGGTAACACAGGACTTCAGCTGCTGCTTCACACACTGACCATGATACACAAGAAATTTGGCTGTTGGCAAGTTAAAATACTCTAGGGGCCAGGGAAACGTGAAATCAGTGACAGAGGTTCCTTCAGTAGCTCACAGTTTGCAGTTCCAGAGGACCTGAAATCTAGTGAAGATCATAATATTCAGGATTTATGAGCATCTCACAGAAGGTACAACTTCATATAACTGGGAGCTAACTTGGGCTTCATTACACTGAAGGAAATTTAGGAAGTCTAGAGTTGATCAGCAGCTGAAGAAAAGAGGATGAAAGACCAAATTGATTGGAACTCAGAATAAACAAGGTCCAGGTTAGCAGAGCAATATCATTTTTGAGACTGAAGTCATGTATCACATGACTCCCCAAAAGTCATGGTTCCAGTTCCCATATTATTATTATTCCCTAATAAAACTCTTATTTAGTTTTATATTCATCAGGGATAGAGTAATCTTTGGGATGGTTACATCCTCATGTAGACAAAATATGTATGTGCAGTAAGATCACTGCTGTGGGGGCTGTGCTTCTGCTCTTTTACAGATGCAGAAAGTCTTTTTGAGAAATTATTCTTCAGCAAAGACTGAGCTAACTTGTTTTTCTGTTGAAGTGTTAACTTTTTGGACAGTTGTGTCATGGCAGCTCCTCACCTGCTGTATTGCAGCTCAGGGTGCTGTTTCTTAATGGTGCCAATGCCATCTTGCTGCAGGCTTTGGAAGGTCAGGCTGCTCAGCAGTTTAATCCCAACTCACCTGATGGACAGAGGCAGTGGTTGTTTCTCTGGGATCAGTCCTACTGGTGAACTTTTAGCCTGAAAAGTTAGCCCAAGGCAGAATCAGATGGATCTTCTGTTCCATGACTCAAGGCTGGAGACTGACACTATCATTAGCAAAGTCAAAACAGTTTCATCATGGGCATCTCTGTGCTATTGTAAAATGCACTTTGCTTCCAAACAGCAGTAAATTGTCATCAAAACACCTTCAGACTATGCAGCTGGCATCTCATTGGATCTCATATTTTGGAATCAAACCCTTTAACATCTTTATCCAACAAGTACAATATCTGGCCTGGCACACTCTTCCAGTGAGGCCAAAAGTCTGATGGTTTCTACAAAGAGTCCCACTGTTTTCACTTGCCCCTTATATGCGCTTCTCATTTTTATATAATTGTGTCTTTCTAGGGCTGGACACAAAAAAATGCATTGAAAAGGAATTCCCAAGGTGAGTTTAATATCATCTGTGAGCCACCCAGATATTTTAAGCCTCTCTCTCCTACAAATTACTTCTGCAGGGCCAAGTCCTTCAAGTTTCAAGGTCCACTTGCACAACTAGATTTTTGTTTTATTATTAACATGTAGTCTAAAAATGTTTTGTTCTAACCTAATGGGAAATACGGAGACTTGGAGCACAAATCTTTGCTAAATATGCGATTAATTATTTACAAGAATGAATTCTCAGTAATCTTCCTTGTCCTTTTTAAGCATGTGTGTTGGAGATGGGTGTCCATGCAGCTAAGGATTGTATGACCATGGTATTTAGAATTAGGTAGTCATACTCTTGTTTAATAAATTGGCAAATAGGGGTTTTTTTTGCTGATGTTGGTTTTTTCTCCCCTCCCAGAAAGAATAAACTGGAAATGAGTCCAATTAGATCAGTCAGGGAAGATGCCAGTAGGTTTGCTGCTTCAAAATCATTCCGAAGTCAGGAATTATTTTAACATTTTGTCTTCTTTCTCCCTTGGCTTCATGGCTGTTACAAAAATTCTGTTTATTAATGCACCATGAACTGAAGCTGTCAAAATCAATCTCTTTCTCCATTTGTAAAGATGTTATATATGTGCATCTGAATGGTACAGTATGTATTTGTTAAATTTTCATGTGGGCTCTGACTGGATTTCCTGAAAAGGAGACACTATAGACACAGAGACACTGTAAAAGTGCCACAGCTTGTGCATTCTGCCCAATGCCAGTCACCTACACACTGTTTACAGAGATATATCCTGTAAACTGTAAAACACAGTCCCTGGGACCAGCTTTGGCTCCATTTTATATTACTCTTGGGATTTAACCTGCATTTTCCTATCCAGGGCAATGAGGAGCTCTGCTTAAGACCATAGGGAGCTCTATTTAATTATAATTGGCAGCCTGCAATCCTTTGTGCTGTCAAGGAAATCCTGGAGCTAATGGATGATGCTGCAGACCTTTAGTAGTGGTTTTACACTCAGCAATTTGTTCTTTATTTGGCTGAATAAATATCTGATGGACCTGAGAGAATCCACCGAGAAAACACTGAGGAAATTCTTGCTGTGCCTATGAGAGAGCCATGGGAATTACTGAATTATTCTGAAGGGTAATTTTGCCATCCAGCCTTTATTTATGCATCTGAAGGAACAAATACCAATATATATACTTCTCATTGGTAAGACATTTTGCAAGAGGCTAAATCTTTAAGCCTTGATCCCACAAAAATACCACATTTAACATAATGTGAATAGTTCTTCTCCTTGCAGCTTGTGTTCTAGACTGGAATTTGTGTTTGATTTTCCTTCAGGACTGATCCTTTAGTGCTATTCCAGCCGAGGGTGTGGTTCTTCCCAATGTTTGACACACAACTCTGGGGTTTGCAGTTTCACTTACAAGGTAGGTTTTGATGGATTATTTTTTTCCCTCTGCTGTGAAACATTTGTGTAGCTGCCCACACCCTTTCCACTCCTGGAAATCATACTGACATGCTCCTTGATTTTATTATCTTCTTGGTCACAAGGTTAAGTTCAACACTGCTGGTAGCAGAAATCCTGGTTTTAGGTTTTAGTGTTGTGCCACTCTGAAAATAATCAAGGGTGTTTTTTTCAGAGTACAGCTCCCTGCACTCCCACTCTGCCTTGGCACTGTCATGGAATGTGGGTCAGTTGTTGTCTGGGCTGCTTCATATTTCAGCACTATGGTTGGCTTGGATGCTCCCAGAATTTGCCTTTCCCTCAGGGCCTTCTGACCTATTCTATTTTTGTACTCAATACATACACCATGGAATTCTTAGAGACTAACATTTGCCTGTTGAGTTTTGAAAATGTACCTCTTTTTTTTTTTCTTTAAAAAAAGAATCCCCACGTAAGATAAAAATGCAAGTAAGAAACGTAACAGTCCCTTTTTGTCCTGCGTTCGGCTGGGCTGTGGAATGTGCAGGTTCCAGAGTCAAAAGGTCCCACGTTTTGATAGCCATTTGTGAGACACCTCATACATTTAATCACCATCAACTGTGTTCAGTTTGTTCTATTCACATTCAAAACCTCAGCTCTGATTAATTGTAACTAAAAGATGTTTCAAGCCCATTTTTACAAGATGCTGCAGAGGGGCTCCCTGTGCCCTGGGTTTGATCCTCTTTGTCAGGAGCACTGTTCTTTCAGGGAGTCGTGGCTGACTACAGGGGTAACTGAATATTTATGGTTATTTTGTGTATTTTTAAGCTTGGGAGCACAGCCTACAGAGGTTTTTTGACTGGCAGCCACTAGAGAGCACTCCGGGATTGTATGTTTTCCAAAGTAGGGTGTGGTGAACTACAGTGTGAAGTTAAATATGAAAGGCTTTTTTTCCCTGTTCTAAAGAACCCTAGTGTGTTTTGTACAAAATAGAGTATATTAAACCAAGATTTTAGCACCTCTGGCATTTCATTTTACACAATTATTGTTATTCTTAGTGACTTCTTTCATCAACATTTAATTCTTATTTAGGAGAGTTTCACTGGGATCTGTAATGTAGGCAGGAAAAGCCCCCTATAGCAGTCAATGTATGGGCTGTTTTTATTGTAAGACTGAATGATGATGCTTTTCTGCATTCTGTACACATAAGCTGGGAGAACTCTAGTTCTGCTTTAGCTTAGTCCTTAGAAAAGCTTTTCTGTAGAATCATTACGATTCAGCAAATGATGAAAGGAGTGGATCTGTGTAAAATACATAAGCAAACACTGAGAAATGCTGATTTAAAAGCAAAATGCTGCATGAATGAATGTGTTAGTTTTCTTAGTTGATGTTTCCTTATGTGATTGATACTGTATTTTTCTAGATCTCATATGGCCCATCTTCCATATTCCCCCAGGAAAGAAAATTGCATTATTTTCTTTTGAAGTACCTGTACCTCGAGATGGGGTTTTTTCTCTCTTTTCATACATCCTTCTGAAATCAGCTGTCAGAGACCTTTTCCTGTTTGTGCTTAGTCCTTTTAAAGCTCCTGTGTGCTTTTGGGGAGGACTTTCTCAGCGACATCATTGGTATCTTCCAGTTCATTGTGTGAGCAGAAGATGGAAAGGCTGTAGCCTAAAACTTGGCAGCGATTGCAGAAGAAAATACATGCTCAGAAGATAATGAGCAGCCCAGAAGTCCAAAGTTTTGCTCAACTGCCGTTCTATTTACAGGGAGTGATTAGTGCAGCTGTGGTCAGCGAAGGGATTGTCTCACAGTGGTGTTTCCTTACTTAATAAATTGGTGCTGAGAGGCAGAGCCACTTGTTGCACTGGAGAGAAATGTTACTGTCAGCACTGAGTCAGAGCAGCTGGAGGGGACTGAACTGGATCCTGAGGAGATTAAATGTTGGGGCCAGCTGTGTAAATGGGATATGTGGGGATGTGACAGACCCTACTCATGACAATGGTATTCATCACATTAGAGCTTAAATAGAGCAGACTAAAAAAAAACCCTACCCCAAGTTGCAGATCCCAAAATTAGCTCACCAGTCTGTTTATGCCAGTGTTAAACTTGAAATCTTAATCAGGATTGCTTCTATGACAAAAAATAACTCACAGGTGTCCCTGTACATTTGTTTGGGGGGTTTTGTAGCTCTTCTTCATGACTAATGAAGAAACTTCATCAGAGAGACTCCATTTCTGTTTACCTTTCCAGTACAGGAATGCTCAGCTGGGAAGTGATTTGGCCACATGAAAACTGTTACTGGCTTTAAGGTCAAGGGATGAAATGTAAAAATGTACATTTTTAGTAGAATGTACTAAAAAAAGTAGAAACTTTTCCATAATATCTGGAGTTTTCTAGGACTTTTTTTCTGGACTTTCTGGATCAAGAGCCTTCTCAGGAACACCTAGATTGAGACCTGTGCTATGATTTACTATACTGAGAATTTCTCAAAGAATTTTCTAGCACTTTCTTGGAATCAATTATCTAGATATTTTTTAGGAATTTCCCTGGCCTTTGCAGGTATTCCTGAATGTATAATCTTTCCAGGAATTCCTGGAGTGAGATCTTTTCTAGATTTTACTGAACCTACACCCTTTCTTGAGATCTTCTCACTTTGTATGTGATTCCTGCCTCTAGATCCTGAGGTAATTCCTGTGCTGTTCTAGAATTTTCCCTTCCTAGGAATTTCCCCAGTTTTTTAGGAAATCTTGGATTTAGGCTCTTTCCAGAAATTGCCTTCAAAAGTCCTTACAGGAGCTGCACAGTTCTTCACATCCCATATGCCCTGATTTTGCTTCAAGGTCTAGAAATAGTTGTTACCATTTTTTTCTGTCAGGATAAGCTGCTGTCATATGCAGAGTAGCTGTAGGCATTCTGTAAAAAAAAAAAAAAACCAAAAGTGCTTGAATTCCTGTTTTAAAACTAATTACCACAAAAGGGATTTTTTTGCCTCTCTCCTAAAATTCACCACAGTATCCATTCCTTCCAGGAGTGATGATAGAACAGTTTGTGAGGGTAGCATTCCTTCCTTTCTGCGACTCCTGTGTCCCTCTCACGAAGCTGCTTCCCCACAACTGCTTCAGAGCAGCATTTTTACCAGAATTTGGAAAGAATTGTAATTTAAACCTGCATCCTGTCAGAAATAGTCCTCCTTTCTGCAGTGCAGTCCCATCAGGCAGACCCTGGGCAGTGACTTAGGATCCTGGGAGTCTGTCCCTCTTCTGCCAGCGAGAGAAATTTGTGCCTCTGAGCAAAGCACATATTTCAAGTTACCTGACAGGAAGAAGAATGTATAACACTGAGGTGTTAATGCATAACAACACAGCATGTAATACATCCCTTGAGGTCAAGTCTCAGCAGTAGGAAAGTATCAGCATGCCAAATTTACAGACTAGAAAAATGACTCACATTGACCTTATTAGTTAATAAATGAACTCGTCGTAGGTAATCCATGCAAAGGCAAGTTATAAAATGTTTACTTTTCTCCTTCTGCCAAACCCTTGGAGCCAAAATGTTAATTGGACTTGGAAAAAAATGTTTATATTTATCCCTTTAGGGCACTGGAGTTTTAAACTGGTGCATGGGTGTTGTCCTCAATCCCCAGTTAACTTTTGTGGCCTAAGTGAGAGTCAGTCCAGTCTGCCCAGAATGGGTTGTTGCAGAGGAGATTATATTTTTCTGAGCAGGAGAACAATGCTCAGGACACAGGGACAGTGTGGTGGTGTCTGATCAATGCAATGTGTCAGAGCTACCTGAAAAGTTTTCATTTTGATGGCTTTCTTTTAGCACAAAAAAGGTGAAAATTGATAAATATGTGCATAAGTCTCTTACCAAGCAAGGTGTGATCTACAGATACATGTGTTCTGCACCAGGAGGTGCTGGTCCCTTATAATTCCAGCAAGAAAGGCACTAAGCTTCTCAAAAGTATCCTTAAAATTGTATTTATTACAGTTAACACTATAAGAAAAGAGTAGTATAGATACTCTTATTAAAGATTATCTATAAACCTCTCTTAAAATGAGACCTGAAGTGGGTTTGAACCTGTGTGGACCATAATGATAAAGGCTCCCACATCCACACTGCTGGTGTTTGAGAAATGTCACAGCACTTAAAGGTTTCATGTGCCTGATGGAATGAGTTCTGTTGGCTTTTATCTTGACAATCACTAAATGTACTTTGTACCTACTGACAGTAGAATTGTCAGTGGATGATCATCAGCTGAGCTAAGGTGCTTTTTCTCTGCCCAAAACAGACCAAAGCCTGACTTATGCCACCTTAAAGTCCTTGAAGGAAAAAAATGATACACTTGGGACACTGCTGGATGGAGCAATGGCACCACCTGTCTTTGGGACTCTGGTAGTCAAATAACAGCTTACTCAACTTTAGCACCAGCTGGTCGTGTTCAACACACCTGACACTTCCCAAAGCCACCGTTCAACTTCGATTTCAGGAAGAAAATTCCTGATATTGAGGTGTGTCATGCTGCAGAAATGCAAGTAAAATAACCTGCATTAATCACTACAGAGGGTTAAAATGCAACTGCAAGACAGAATGCTGTAAAAATACTCAGCAAAGGAAGAATTAGATAATTGAGTGATCTGCAGCTTGAGTATAAGGGATTCAGTAACAAAGTTAGAAGGTTGTAGTTTCTCCGTTCCTTTCCTTCCTTCCTTTTCATGTCACTTTGTTTTACATCACTTCAGGAAAACCAGCCAAAGCCCCCATTGCTGTACCACCACTGAAACGAAGCAGGTGTGGAACCATTTGTTATTTTGACACTCTTGGAATAGAACTGTATTTTTGGAAATGATAGCAGAGAGAACAGTCCACATGAGACAGTTGTTAAAAGCTTCACACTGCTGTGAGTTCAGTTTATGACCTGAGCATCTTCCAATCACTGTTGAACTTACCTTGCTACCCACTAAGCAGGAGTCATTCTTCTTGGTTAATTCTGATAATAAAAATACCTATTGGAAGCCCTGTAGGATGAGAAATAACCACTGAGGCGCTGTAGGAATGAGGGAGTCAGCTGCCTGTGTAAAACACCCTTTGGAAACTACAAAATGCCTCTTTCATAATCGTTGCACAACATTAAGAGCCAAAAAGCAGCATTTGAGAAGAGCTTGAACTGCAAAACCGGCATGACAAGTTAGAGAAGCCACTTTTTTGTGCCTCCCAGTGTAAAGCTACATTGAATGAGTGTTATGTCAAGAGATTTACGACAATCAGAAACATGAAGAATTTAAAATTAAGAACTAAATGACACTGGCTTTGTGATGCTTGTAAATGACGTTACTCAGGCCGGCTGGCTTCCATCAAAACTGCACTTCATTTGGTCAAATTGCCAACACATTTCTTTTCACAGCTTCTTTCAAGCCAGCTCTAATTATAACTTTAAAATAGCATCTTTACTGGCAAAAAAACCCCACAAACAAACAAATCTTCAGACAAGACATGTGAAAGCAATCTATTTCCCTTAGCTCAGATATCTTATTTAATTTTTTTATATATATCTTTTTCCCCAAGAAAAGCACATGTTTGCTGAAGTAGGTGTTTCAAACAGGTGCTTCATCTGACTGAATTTTTTGCAACTTCTTTGGCTAGATTAAGATGTAAAAATTACAGTGCATAAAGAAAAATAGTTGGTTTTTTTATTCCCATTTTATCATCTAGTGTTTTCTCTTTTACTTGTTGCAAGCAGGCAATATCTAGCAGCAAACTGGAAATTAAGATTCTAGAACTCTCATTCTTGCTTTACATGAGCTGTTCGGACATGTCCTGAAATAAATAAAACTAAAAGGCCAAGCAAAACCTACCTGCCCATATATTATAAAGGGGGGAAATATTAAAATTGGATAGGCCTCTACTCTTTTTGATGTGGATTTTTTAACCAAACACTAATGGTGTTGGGAATTTCATATTGCAATTAACTGCTGCTGATCAGTCCAGCTGTTTTACTCAGCTCTGCAGTATCTGCTGTAACATCACTTTGCTTGCAAGTGTTGAACTTTTCATCTTCAAAGCTAGCGCAGATGATTTCCATAACTTTCCATTTGTGAAAATAATTTTTGGGATGGAGCTTTTCTAATGGCTGCATTTACATCTGCCCAGTACCTGGAACTGGGGGGTTTGCTGTGAGTTGCACTTCTGTTCACTCTCAGGCATGAGGTGGTTGTGAACACCAGAGCAATAAAAACTCTGCTTAGAATGTTGTGGCTCAGTAGTTTCATGTCTGAAACTGTATCAGTGGACTGACATGAAGCTGTCAGAGGATATGATGGTGTCTGTAGAAACACAAGGGACACATAAAAAAGAAGGGTTATAATGACATTGAGAAAGCAACTTCAAATAAAACCCTGAGCAGACACTTTATTTCTCTTTTGATACCAGTATATGATGTTGCCTTTTTATAAGATCCCTACTTAATTTTTTTCTTTTGGCAGTAATAAAATAATAGAGATGGGAATAATCTGATGGAAACTGAAGTAAAGACCTGCAGAATTTTCTATCCATCACAAATGTACAGTAAGGGAGTTCATACATTAACTACACCTCTGTGCTCCTGGTCTGTCACATTAAGTATCTTTGGCATTTCAGTTTGTAGGTTTATATGTGAAATATAATTTTTTAAATTATGCATTAATTATGAATTTCAATTAAGGCTAATCAGGCAACTTCTAAAAATAATTATTTCTGATTGCATTAAGATTTGTATCACAGAAATTTTCAGTCAGATGAGTATGAACTACATTGACTAAGGCTAAAGTGATGGAAATTTTACAGGCTCTTGGCAACCTTTTACTGTGCATAAAATAAGAGAGACATCTGTAAACAAAGCTTTAAAAACACTCCAGATAATGCCATAAGAAATGGTCTCCAGCGTGATGATGAGGATTCTTGAAATGTCCTGAACTGAGTATTAAAATTTCTTAAAGGCAAATGAAAAGTAACTGGTGTTGGTTCCATTGTTTTCTGGGAAAGCTGTTAAAAAAGAAATTGTCAGGTAATACTGATGCACTCTGTCTAATGCTTTTAAAACTGTGATATTTGGCCCAGTGTTGTGAGAATCCTTCAGTGGGGCACAGGACAAAGGGGCAGATATCATAGAATCACAGAATGGTTTGGGTTGGAAGTGACCTTAAAGATCATCCAGTTCCACCCCCCTGCCATGGGCAGGGACACCTTCCACTAGCCCGGGTTGCTCCAAGCCCCGTCCAACCTGGCCTTGGACACTTCCAGGGATGGGGCAGCCACAGCTTCTCTGGGCAACCTGTGCCAACCTGTGCCACCCTCATGGGGAAGAATTCCTTCCCAATATCCCATCTAATCCTGCCCTCTGGCATGGGAAAGCCATTTCCCCTTGTCCTGTCACTCCAGGCCTTTGTCCAAAGTCCCTCTCCAGCTTTCTTGGAGCCGCTTTAGGCACTGGAAAGCTCCTTTAAGGTCTCCCCAGAGCCCTTTTTTCTCGAGGCTGAACAGCCCCAGATCCCTCAGCTTGTCTCCACAGTGGCTTTCCCGTCCTGTCCTGGCTTTGTCACTGAGCTGGGACAAGTCTCTTTGATCAGGGACACACAAACAAGTCACTTCAGGGCAAACTGTTGGGTGAACTTGAAATTCCTCAGCTTCCCAGCAGCGCTGCCAAACAGACATTCTTACCCCAGGACAAGGAGATAATCCACCTCCCATTCACCTCCTGAGGTAAGACAAGAATTTACCCCTTTTTGAAATACTGCTTGTTAGGATAAGGATGTGCATGTATCTATCTCTCGTGGAATAACTGGAGCTCTTCAAGATAACACCCTTGCTTGCCCTGCAGAAACATCTTTTGTGTGTTCCAGTCCTCTAAATCATTTTTGTGGGCATAAAGAAGAAATAATGGTTTTGTTGGTTCTGTTCAGTAGGGGTAGAAAACCTCCAGATAACAGTGGAAGAGGTGTAATAATCCCTTTTTTACATATAAGATATAAATGATTTGACAAAGTATTAGGAATCAGAACAGCATGCTAGGCTGGCTTGTTTCTAGTCTTGATTTGTAATAACTGAAGCTGTGGGAATAACTTTTTTTCTGGTTCCTTAGTTGAATGGGAAGATCAGAAATCAAAAGTACATTGCTTCCAGTTCACTTAAAGGCCCTTATAGTTTTTCCATAAATTGCTGTGCAAATTAACTTCTGAAGGTAATACAGTTTCAATATCACTTTAAAAAATGTTTTTTCACTTACATAATTTCCTCAAATGAATGCAGATTCTTCAATAATTCAGTGAACCTAACTTCATTTATTTCATTCTATTCTATTTCAGGAGGTGAAGATTAGTCCTTTTGGCTGAAAGCTGGTGTTGAGTTGATGTAGCTGTGTCATGGAACTGCACCTTCAGTTTCTCCATTGCAGAGAAAAAAATGCATTATTGAAAATCTGAGATTCCTTTTATGAAGCTTATGTGTAGACTGAATGTTTTTTGCTCATTCTAACCCAAACACAGACTCTATTTAAGGGTAAGAAATTACAGATGTAAACTAATACCTAAGCAGTTGGGGTTCACCTCTTTGTGTGTCCTCATTGATATTTGCTTTATTCGTGTTCTCAGAGAGCCTGTGTTGGTTTGGTGCTGCCATTTGGGTGAATTCCTGGAGAAAATGTCAATGGAAGATCCTAGAAGTCACACCTTTTATATCAAGGGGAAAGGATGGCTGGAATCCATTGCCCCTCAGTGCCCCTGGCCTTGAGCCTGGCAGGTCTGAGGGTCAGTAAGAGCAGGACCATTCCCATGTCTTCTCCATGGAAAGGAATAGATCCTTTGAGCACAAATTCCATGCCTGGCACTTTCAAAATTTGCTGCTACATTAAAATAACCTTCTGCACTGAGTACACATTATGCAGGTATGTAAATGAAGATAAAATGGAAAGTAAAGTAACCTGGTAATGTTTGGATGCCACAGAAATTTATGGGCTGCACAGTCTCACCAGAAGTGTGTTATCTTTTCCTCTGGGCAAAATAATGTGTTTAAGCTTCTAATAATTTTTAATCCCTTCAGTCTACACAGCAAGGGAGGTGAACATGTTTTCAGCTGTTAACCCGCTCAGATTTCATGTTACACCTGACCACTGATTGCTTGGCAAAAGGAGCATCTGTAACATGTCTTAGCCTGCTGGGTCTGTACAACTTTCTCCTTCTTCCCTGCCTTTTCCAGGGAAAAGAAGGTTACATTGGAGAGGAGACCAGTGGAAGAGCCTGGTCTGTTTTCTCAACTGATTTTAATTGGGGTTTGTTTTTTTTTTTTTGCAAAAGGGAGGAGTCACCGAGCAGAAAATCAGTCAGTGGAAACTTCTGAGACATTTCTAAAAGCATAAATCTTCCTTGATTGCCTGGCTTGGTTTTAAAGACATGTAAATTTTCAGCTTATCCAGGCATCTTACAGAAAACCGAGTTCCTGAAGTTTCTTTTTCCTCCCAATGTTTTCATCCACAATGTAGATTTAGTACCATCCTTCAAGAGCATGGTGGAAAAACAGGGGTTTTGTTGTTTGTGCTCATTCTAGTGGAGTAACAAAGAAACCAATTTCACCTGTGCAGGCAGAAGTGAATTTTGCAATCCAAAGCCTGAGGGCACCACTAATTGCCCCTGGAGGGTGGGGCTGGCTGGGGCAGCAGGACTAAATTGGGCTGCTGAAAGAAAATGAGGAGAAAAAGGGGGCTGCTTCTCTTTCTTTCTCCCTCCCATCTCCAGTCACTGCCCCCCATGCACTCAGACGCCTCTTCAGTGACCAAAGCTGTCCTCCAGGTGTGCAGGAATCTGGTGCAATGAAGTGGGGCACAGTCCCTTCCCAGGGCTGTTTTGGTGTCAGCAGTGTGCTGTCTTAGCAGATACCACTGACAGCCATTCCTGCCAGGAGCGTTGTGCCTACATGGTACGAGATGAGGAGCTGGCAAAGCCAGGGCAGGAAAACAAACTGGCAGGGAGAGGTTTTGCTGGAGCCTGCCATGGCAAGGCTGCTTCTGATTCTCAAGGCAGGGAGGGGGAGAACAAGTAGTTGCTTAATAATGCAGTTTTACAGCAGTGATTCCACACCAAGGTGGGAATTTTTTCACAGTATAAAGGGTTTGGGATGATCCTTGTGAAAACAGAAGTATGGGTGCCATCATTTCATCTAAGTGCTTCACCAAAAGCTAAAAGATTTGGAATCTTAAATTGAAGGCAGGGTTGGGATTATTTGTCACTGGGATTTTAAAGGAGGATCCATCCCACTGCTTTTTAACTGCAGCGTGAGTGTGACCAGCTGCATTTCATCCTGGTGATTTGGTCCAAGTGGCACCTGGATCCAGCAATTAAGACTTCATTCCATGCCCCTGGGCACATGATACGTGTGTAAGGAAAAGAGAGGAGGAGGAAATGAAACGAGTGTCCTGCAAAGAGAGCTTGAAAATATGGTGAAAAGGAACTCTGGAAAGATCTGATGAAAAGCCTAAGACAAATAACTACCTGAGAGAGCTGGTGGCTCTGCTGACAGGAGGGCCTGGGTAGAGCAGGGCTTTTCCTGGGATGGCCTGGAGCCTGCCATCAGATATTCCCTTACAGCTCTGCTTCGGGGGAAGTTGATGTGAGGGCCAACTAAACTGCACACAGAGCTTGGAAAAGACTTTGAGGTACAGTAATTTTTTTAATACATTTTTGCTTTGCTGTGGTTGGTGTTTTTGCTCCTGTCTTTTGATTATGTGCATGATTAAGCACCTAAATGCTTGTTGCCTTTGTGGGATTTTTTTTTGTTCCATTTGAAGTTTATTTTGTTTGTTTGGTTTGGTTTCCATTTGTGCCAAGTGAAAATTAATACTTGTACGCTTGTAAATAACTCAGTTAAGATTTAAAACCAAAAAATGGAAGGGTTTTGTATCTAAGTCCAGCTCCTTTAGGAAACCTTGGGTTTATGTTATAAATTCCCAGTGCTTTCTTGTAATTTGGAAGTTCAATACAATCAAGTTGACTGTCCAGAAATCTTCCAATTATAACTTACAGTTATTGTTAAAAGATATATCTTTGCAGAAGAAACTGGTAATTGCTGTTAAATTTAAAAGAAAAAAATGGGATGAACTATGTAGTTTGGTTTTTTGTTTTAATCCAGCCTTATTATATTTGTTCCTGTCTACATTTTCAAGTCTTCCTTGCTGTGCCTGAAAGAGTAACAGGAGCAGAAATTATGCCTAAATTAGATTGTCTTTCTAGGGCAACTAATAAGTAAATCTCCTGCAGCCTGTGCTGTTTATAGGCATTGGAAGTAATTGTTAGGTTTGGAAGAAATACACTAATTTTGAAAATGTTTGTAAATGTCTCAGACGTAATGGAGATTAAAGCCAGCAAGAGGTTATTGCCCTAGACAACATAACCCTGGCATTTCATTTAGCTCCACAAACTGTTTAGATGATTGTCTGAGGAAGGCTTCTGTTCATCACTTTTAATTTGATTTCACTGTAACAGAAAACTGGCATTTTAGATGGCTTTGCAGATTGCTATTGGTGAGGTTATGAACTTGGTTACCACCCTTATCTTAAAGGGGAATTTTTTAGAAGAAATGTTTATCAGTGTTCTTCCTTCCCTTGGTGTCCAGAACTACTTGATATAGGTGGAATTTTTCCTTCTTTGTATTTTTCCCGAAGTCAGATCTTCTGGTTTGTTCCATGAGCTTTCTTTACTCAACTGGTGGTCTGACTGTTCACAGTTCTCGTCTGTCTCTATCTGTTCTTCTCAAAACAATAAAATTCTCACTGCAAAAAAGTTTCTATTTGAAGTGGGATGGCAGCATTCCTCTCCACTGTCTGTTCTCTGTGTTCCAGCATGGCTTGCCTCTGGCTGGAGTTCTTGCATGTCTCCAAGGATATTACTAATCCACTTTGGAAAAGAACGGAAAATCTGTTTTACAACCGTTTTAAGTCTTTTAAACTGATTTTGTTCCAAAATGAGTCCAGTCCTTCCAAATTTAAATTCTTGTCTTGAAAGAAAATATTTTTGTTTTCCACTCTGATAGGAAGAAACTACAAATAAAAATCCCTATCAAGATTAACAGTGATGTTCTTAATTAGTTTTGAATGAAATAAGATTCTTTTTTTTCTTGCACAGTACTGGAATTAGTAGCAGGATTATTTTTCCCCACTTGGAAAAGAGAGATAAGTCAGTAACATTTTGTCTAGTACTTTAAATTTAGCAAAATTACAGTAAGTACTAAAGAATCGGTCCAAGTGGGTTATTTAACCTTGGTCTGGTTACCCAACCCTTTTGTAATTTATTATGCAGTTATATACTTGCACTGTTATTCTACTTCCTTCCAGCCCAGTCTAAGCCAACTTTATTGCATCTCTTTTGAAAGCACATTTTTTGTATGTGTTCCAGTGTGACTACAATTTTTAGCTTTTTTTTTCTGTTTGGTTGAGGAACATTTTTTTTTTCTTCTTTTTCCCTTTTTTTTTTTTTTTCTGGCTATGAAAACCTTGTAGATTGGATCTTAACCCTGAAGGAAAATACTCCAGATCCATCCTCCCAACTTCACCTGTCACTGGTTCTGCTTTATCTTAGAAATAAATGCCTTGGAGGATGAAAATACATCAAAATAATTCTTGAATGGTGAAGGTGCAGTAATCTGTACTGGCTAATGATCCACCCCCCAGCGTGTGGTAGGAATCTGCTCTTTCCCTTTCAGTCTTGGAACATTGAACTCACTTTACTTTGGGGCAATTGCTGCACATTCTTTTATTTAAATGCACATATATATGAGTGCACTGACAAGTATTTGTTTCATAATATCAGTACTTAATTTTTTTCAAAAGAATGTTCCCTCCTCACCTTTTGGTAGAGATAGAGATCTCTTTATTTACAGTACCTTCTATTGATTGGTGTTAATTACTTTTTGAAATTATTCCCATGAATCCCTGAGGTCTAGATTTCTGCAAAGTCTAGTCCAGCAGACTCTGGGCTTTCTCATTCCTCCCTTACATGCACAAGTTCTTAGATGTTCTTCCCTCTAAGTCTAGATAGGGAATAAAATAGGAAAAGATTCCCATGAGTTGATATGAGGCTGGATTTCTTCTGCATGAATGAGGAAGTGGAGCCTGAGCTACTGGAATGCTGGAGTCACTGGAGTTCACCCGGGTTTCACCATGGCAAGGCTTTCTCTGTGTCTTCAGGGAACGCTTTGCATGTTACATCCCAGTACATGTTCTGCAACGTTCACTCTTTGGAGCTGAGTCTGGACACGCTGGCTGTCCCTAATTAAAGTAATCTAGGAAATTTAAGCAGCTGAGCTTAAAAGTTAGCCTTGAATGTGGATGTTGTATACAGATAATAAATCTCTTGTAATAGTTATTTAGATACTTGCCAAGAGTGATGCTGTCTGAAAGTGTTTGAACAACATATTCTCTCAAGACCATAGAATTTCTTTTCCCCAAATGGAAACTATTGCACATACTCTTCCATAAAGCAAATTTCTATCTCTTGTCACTCCTTCATCTCTCTTCAGAAGGGACATAAGATGGCAATCGTTCTGCAGAATGGTCAGCATGTGGGGTAAAGAAAAATAACCCTTGCCTACATAAGAGAGAACAATTAGTTTTCTCTTTGTGAGACAACAGTGATAGTTCTGTCCTTTTTCCTTGAGTGGCAGAAGGTGACAGTGAAAGTGCAGTATTGTTCTAGTAATAATGGAACTTTTTTTAGCCCAGGAGGTAAGGAGAGCTATGTGTAACACGAATATTTTTTTCAGGAGAAACAGAGAGAACTTTTGGTTTTTTCTTATCTTTATTACCATATGTATTTCGGGGAAAGACTAGGGAAAATTCTGATGTATAGCTGCAGTCCAAGTTGTATTTGGTTTTTGGATTAAATATCTAATTTACCATACAAAAAATATTAAGGATTTGAGTTTCACAGGAAAGAAAAAGAAATGCTGTGGTTTTCAGATCAGAGCATTCGCTAGGTGACAAAAAGGCACCTGAAAAACACAATGGAAATGTCATATTTAGAAAGTGCCTTGCCCTGTTGTTGATGAACCCTGTGGTTTCAGTCCCTTGTTCCTTCAGTGACCATCCAAGAAAAATTAATTGATGCCCACTGACAAGTTCTATTCGTGTAACCTTCGTATTTTTACCTTGAACTGCTCACAAACTATTTTAATGTTATTTAACTCATCCTTATTATTCTCTTTTGGTGGTGATAGGAACCTTTAGTCTCTTCTCTGTAATACTTACTGAGACAAGTACACAGCCAGCAGTAACAGATAATGATAACAGAGAAAATAGTCTAAAATCTTTGGTAAAAAAAAAAAAGGCAGTAACAGCATTATTTTTTCCACTCTTGAATGTGCTATATTCTACAATACAGAAAGCAATTAATATTTCACAACAGTGTGAAATTGTATCATGCAGGTGTCATCAAATGCTATAATTAAACCTCAGCAGAGTAGTTCAAACATGCTGTTACTGGTGTGACCAGTTAGTGCTGAGAGAGGCTGACTGGGGAGCCCGTAGGCAACTGGGGTTAAAAGACCAATGTCAGCAGCATCTTAACTGGCTGGGAAAAGGCTTTGTGCCCAACATGCTGCTTCTTGTGCTTTAATAACCACTCATCGCTTGAGACTTCTCCTTTTGACAACCAAGTGTGTGTAAAGGTGATAAAAATATGAACTCTGAGTAACGAACTTCAGCCACTTTGGGAGGCTTCTCCTCATGTTTGAAGAGACTGTTTATACAGTAATAGCCAGGTCATGTGAGTTCCAGAGGAATGGTGTGGACCCCTTGTGCAGGAGCCTTGGGTTTATAAGAAATAGTTTGACTTTCATTTCGCTCTGGTTGGGAGTATCCAAGAACAGTTATTCTAGAAAGTCAGAGAACCAATTCAGAAGATTAAAAACCCAGATAAGACAAAACTCAGCTTTATCAGAATCTGTCTTACCTTAACATCAGTGGCAACATTTGTGTATGAAGAGAGTGTGTGCAATTGCTGGGCTGTGATTGTGGACTTTGGGTACAGGAGACAGGCAAAGATAATACTGGAACACCTAAGATTCAAATGATATTGGATATCAGGGACTCACCTTAAGAATTGCTCAACCATCAGCCCTAGACATGAAGGATTGACCTCTACTCTCTAAAGACTTACTTGATTTTAATTTTATTGTACACAGTCTTCCAGGATGACCCTTTAAATCAAGTCTTAGTAATTTGGCTAGAGAGTGGGAAAACAAAAGCAAAGAAACATCCTCAAAACAAAACAAAATCTCCAAATTAAGTGGCTGCTGGATAGAGCATGGTAAACCAAAAAAGATTGCTTCTAAATTGGCAAGGGAATTTATATGTTATGCCAGATATTTGTGTCTGCTCTGGTGAGATGAGTTATGATTAGGAGAGTGGAAGATGAGAGCCTTAGGACAGAATATGGAGAGCAAGGCAGCTGGGAATTTTGCAGGACTTTGGTTCCAGGTGGAAGGTGTTGTCTCTAAAAGGCAAGTGAAGACTCACAGGTGAGGGAGGAAGCACATTTTGGGAGAGCATTGCAGAATTAGAGACCAGGTTCAAGGTGGCCCCTGGGAAGTTATTCTGAGCCTCTGCAGAATTGCTGTTCCTTTGTGTGACAAAATGCCATCACCTCTTTTGTGACACCAGGA